AACATATATTCCAGCACAGCCTTTGAAGCTGTGAAAGCACAGGTGTGCTGCTACAATGTGCCTCTGGGAACAGATACAACGATTAAGCTCACAGCAGGCAGAGGCCCTGTGACAGACATGGCTGTTAGCCCCTACTAAATAGCGTGATGCACACACACCAACATCCTAGTTGGGAAAATATTTACCCTGATAAAAGAAATGTCCAGTCGTCGACACTTATTGTTTCTCTCCTTTGCAAGTGTAAACTACTCTTGCAAAAGCTGGCGTCACCCCGACAGACCAGCCTCAATTTGGCATAAGAAAGGAGAAAGAGAATAAAGGAGTACAGAGGTATAAGTAGGGGACCTACAGCACCATGATTTTGAGTGTTCACTATCTATCTGCTGGTCAGATAAGTGACACCTCCCAAGGCTTCTGCAGTAAGAGGTCCTACCCTTGTCCCTTATTCGTCTTTCCGCGGAATTGAGTGACGATCCTGGTGACCGTGGAATCGAGAGATGAAGGAGGGTAAGAAGCACCCACACCTGATCTCCTATCTTTAGTGTACACATATTTTGAAATAGAGCTCTATACTTTGTTCTTTCTTGGGATTGTGGTTCAGTTTTGTAACTTGTTTGTGTGTGTAACATCTCTACATTTAAATAAGTAGGACTAGAATTTTGTAACCACATGATTAGAATCTAGCTTAATAAATTTTGGTAACCATTTATGATAAGCCTGACTTGTTTCTCTGGTTTACTGTAAACAGCCAACACAATTAAAGAACCTCAGGTTTGGCTCTAAAGCTGATTAGGTGAGAGTACTAAGAGCTAGCGTGAGTTGTGCCTCACGGGGCAAACTCTGGGGCCTGTCAGTCAATCCTGGTGCTGTGCGAAGGAGTTGAGCTCTAGAGTTAAAGTCACGGGTGTGGAGAGGCTCTAGTGTGCATTGGGGACTGTCAGTCAGATGATGCGCTGAAGGAGCTCTGAGTCTAGAGTTAAAGTCACGGGTGGTTAGGACTGGGGCATCGTAGTAGGGGCGAAGGGAAGTGTACTAAAGTAGGATGGTATAAAGGATATTACCAAAATCTGAACATCATCTAACAAGGATTTATTCCAACAAGCTATTTGAATTTTATCCCCTTGAAGAGTGTGTGGTGGTCAGTCTGTGTAGATGGAGTACAGCAAATTCTCCTTGAATTTTGCAACGCTTCTGTGAAGAGCATGGGAATTACAGTAACTCCTCACTTAACTTTGTAGTTATTTTTCTGAAAAATGCTACTTTAATTCTTATGGGGAAATTGGATTCGCTTAGCATCATTTAGCTTAACATAAATAGGGGGGGTTAGGTTCCAGGGAAATTTTTTTTACCAGACAAAAGACTATATTTTATATATATATATACGCACACAGAGTATAAGTTTTAAACAAACAATTTAATACTGTACACAGCAATGATGATTGTTAAGCTTGGTTGAGGTGGTGAAGTCAGAGGGTGGGATATTTCCCAGGGAATGCCTTACTACTAAATGATGAACTAGTACTCGGCTGAGCCCTCAAGGGTTAACACATTGTTGTTAATGTAGCCTCACACTCTACAAGGCAGCAGGAATGGAGAGAGGGAAGACAGAATGGCAGACAGAGACACACACCCTGTGTGTGAGAGAGAGAGATGCGCATTGCCCCTTTAAGTATACTAACCCCACTTTAAGTACATTGCCTTTTAAGTAGATCAGCAAATTGAGACAGCAGCTGCTGCGAGCAAGCTCCCTGTGTCCTGAGCCCTCTTGTAACACCCCCGCCCCATCTCTATGGAGATGGCGTAAGCAGGGGGCAGGAGTATGGGGGAGGGGGACACTGACATTAGCACTCTTCTTTCCCCCACCCCTGCACAGCAATCAGGAGGCTCCCAGGAGCAGCTCCAAGGCAGAGGGCAGGAGCAGCACATGGCAGTGCGGGGAGGGACAGCTGAACTGCCGGCAGTTGATAGCCTGGGAAGCGGGGAGCTGATAGCGGGGCTGCCAGTTGACCCTGGTTCCAAGCTCCCACCAGCTAGCTCCAATGGGCTGCTCTTTCTGCAAGCAGTGGGCAAAGCAGGCAGCTGCCAAACAATGTTATAAGAAAGAATTGCACAACTTTAAACAAGCATGTTCTCTAATTGATCAGCAATGTAACAACGAAACAACTTTAACTGGGATGATTTTAAGTGAGGAGTTACTGTATCTGTATTAATTGTTGTTGTTATATTTCTGTATCTGTGTATTTAGCTTTAGTGTTTGCTTTGTGGGCTAAAAGATAAGTAAAGGGTAAATCCTACAGGAATTCCCGAACAATTTGTAGATGGAATTCAATTGCTTGGTGCTCAAAATGACAATCCCAGAAATGCACCGTTTAAAGTTATCCTCCAGAGAAATGCATAAGCCAGTTTGGTCAGTTTCAGGAACGCTACTCAAAATCCCAGGACATCTTCAAGCAGGAACTATGAACAAAGGGACTTTGGAATGAATAAAAAGAAAACCTGTGACTTGAGAGATACAGAATGGAACATCAGAATGTCTGAGAGGCAGCAGTTGCAGGGGCAACCTGTTTCACCTAGCCCAGTTCTTGGTGGGCCTGGGTTAAGTGAAACCTTCTTAAACTCTCAAGGAAAGTCTAGGCTTAGGTAAGACTATGTGTTTAGGCTTTTCTTATTTTTAACCCTGTACTCTAATTGCTATGTGCCTTTGGATTAATAGTATGTTTGTGTCACTTTAATCAGTCTCTAGTCACAAGCTCCAAATACAGTTAGACCTGTGTCATTATAACAGTTGATAAAAAAGGGGAATGTGGCCAGAGACCCATTTTAAGCATAGGATGAATTGTGAAATTCCACCCTGAGAAAAAGATGGTTACTTGTAGGGGTGCACTTGAGAGGGACTGCAAAGGGGTCTAAATTGCTGCTTGCCCTGTAACCATGACAACTTCAAAAAGAAAAATGTGTTCTGAAATGGAGGCAAAACATACCGTTTTATGTCCTTCAATTTAAAATCTCCTGAACTACTTGCTTTCTCTTAAGTCTAGATGTGCTTTTCCACTTGTTAAAGTGGTGATCACGGATCCTTGTTTTTTTTTTTTTTCCACCTGCATGAAATATTTTTCCAGAATCTGGTCCATGTGTTCTCTCCAAGTGGAGACTCACCAACACCAGCCTGTCCAATGTTTGTCTCAATGACAGATGTGTGACTGGGCACTACATCATCTGTGCAGCCTTTACTTTGTGGGTCTGGAAGCCATAGTGCTCTGTTCCTTCTTGAAGAGGCTTTGAAAAGGGCCAGGTTGAGTCTCAGCCCTGGAATGCTTTGATTTTCTTGATTCACAAGTTGATGGGTGGATTTAGTGCAAATCCTCATACTCAGTGTTTCATTTGGATCCTGGTTCTTCACAGAATGAAGTGGAGGAGGTTGAGTAGATCAAAACACAAGCCGTCCCTTGGGGATATTAAACTATCTCTTTCTTTTCCTCCTTCTCCATGCCCTAGTAGGAGTCTCTTGCCAGTAATACTCCCATTGAATGATTTACATTGATTAAACTCTTCTTCAGAGCAGAATGGATCTGAGGTCTTTCGGGGTTGGCCTCGCTGTCATGAGACGAAGTTCCTAACAGAACCTATATCTTGTGCCTCCTCTCTGGCTTTCTTACTGCTTGGTAGAGCTAAACCTATTTGTAAGTCTCCATGGTTATTTGTTGCCCTCACCTAGATTTATCCTTATATATTGTCTCTTCTGTGAGAGTGCTCAAGTGGATATTCCCAAATTTGTTATGATCTAGTCTGTTCCTGTAGCACAGAATGAGCATTAAGACTATCTGCCATGTCTAAAGCAGTTTTTAGACCTTGTTGAGGCAATCATCTCCTCTCTTTATGCAGCACTAATGCTGCTTACTCACTAAACAAAAGTTGTAGAAATTGCAATGAATTTGTAAACCAGTCATTCTTATATTTTCGTACAATAGTCTCAAATATCTTAATCTAAATTCTGTTGTTCTAACTACAGATTTAATGTATTTAATTGAATTATAAACACTATGCTGGAAGCAAGTTAACTTAAATTTCCATTGCAACTTTTGGTGTAGTGCTCTATAGTAAACAAGACCAAAATCAAGATCCCTCTGTGAAGGGGCCACTAGAAATTCCTGAAATAGGTCATTTTTTCCAGCAGATATCTATAATACAGTATCTCTTCTTAAGAGAACTTCAGTGCAGTAGCCTCTTTGTCATATAAAGTTGTTTTCCACACTCAATATTTTGAAAAGCTGATGTAAACACAGAAGTTTTTTTTCCATGGTAACTGATTAGAAGTTCATATAACTGATTCAGCTGAGTCCATTGAGAGGCCTGAATGCTGCCTCAAACCTTAATATTAAAGTGCTACTGCTAAGGCCTACAGCATAAAAAAAGATGCTCATTTGGCTTCCAGGCTACTGGTTCTACTTTATGCATATGCTCCAAATACATTTCAGAAAGTGGGGATCAGCATTCATCATTGTAGGAGAACCAGGATTGGTGCTCTCACTGGGTGGAGAAGGACAAAAAAGGCCTCCTCAAAAAGGTTCAGTCAGATAGATACATACTCCTCTGCCTGTCCTACCCCAGCCGCCAAGTCCATCAATTCCTTGATCTTTTTCACACAATTTACAGCCCAGCTAATGCTTTAGGAAGGCGTGTGCATATGTTCTTAATCCAGAACTTCTCAGATTTTCAAACAAAATTCTTCATACCCCATTTTAAGCACCACAGTCTGCAAACAAATTGGTTACTCCTGTCAAGAGTTACAGGGGGATAGAAAATCTCTTCTTGGGTTGGAATCCAGAAGTCATCCTTAACTATAGAATTGCAACGAGCACCTCCACAAACTTGTCCTGGGAAAGAGATGAAGGGAAATAAGGTGTCTACCACAGTGAAGAATCTTTCTTTCCTCAGACAGTGTAAAGATTTAGAAATAGGTTCAATTGACTGATTCCTTTTTTTTTTCCCCCATGTTACAGATAAAAGACTATGAAAAACTGGATTCTGAGGAGGAACGTCTTAGCAGAAGTCGGCAGATTTATGACACATACATAATGAAAGAGCTGCTGTCTTGCTCACATGTATGTATGCTGCAGTTTCACTCTATTATTATAATATTTTAATGTTTCCTTTGACTTTAAATTCTGTAAAATATTTAATAATGGAAGGACAGTGAGTAGATGAAAGTCTGACAGGGAATTACACAAAACGCTGCTCAAAGTGTGACAATAGCAATCTATTATGATAGCAGTGTCTACTAACTCGGTTGTCACTCTTTGTAAAGCATAGCCTTATTTGAAAGAGTGGATAATCTACAATAATGACATGATTTGAGCCAGAGAGAAATTTATCCTGTTATGTAAGACTTTGAATCTGCAAGTGCTTATGCCCATGCTTCGCTTTACACATAATTCTGTTGAAGGGAATGGGACTACTCGTGCCTGAAGGTGAGCATGTACACCTGCAGGATTGGGATGTAAGTGTACATTTTTCTTAAAACGGGGAATACAAAGAAGCAGTTGGTGGTTTCATGTGTTCTGTGTTCCTGTGCCTTGCAGTTACTTGATGGATGGTCTCCATCATGCATGGCATGATCTGGGACCTTGGTTTTGTTTTTTTTTGGCTTGGAAATAGGGATGGGCATAACTTTCAAAGTGTTTTGCAACAGGATGCTTAATGGACACTAAGTTACATTCATTTTGAAGTTTGTGTATTTTTCATATAAGCAACATTCCTTTTTAGTTAAAAACTGCTATTGTGACCTCAATAATTAAGAACCTAAATATCTCTTTTCCAGCTGTTTGTCTAAAATCTTACTTTTTATTTTTCCGAAGCCATTCTCAAAGAAAGCTGTAGATCATGTACAAACTCACCTTGCCAAGAAACAAGTGCCACCAAGTCTTTTTCAGGTGAGATGAAAGCACTTGGAGTGTCTGGTTTATTTAATTATTTGAACGTAAGCAATTTCAGGAAACTTCCCTTATATACATATTATAATTACAGTTATGACAGGAATTTTATACTGTATTTCAGAAGTCAATTTAAAAAAATGATACAGAGAAAGATTTCTGTATATAATAATCAGAGAATGTTTCTAATTTCATTCTCTTGTTAAAGATAATAAAAATGGTAGATTAGTCTTCTTTAGCCAGAAGAGTCTTTGAGTACATTTTTGAAAAGATTACTAACTGCTCTATAACTTTACTGGCTGAAGGGTTCTAATATTAACATTTTATTCCTGTTTTCCTCCAAAATCATATGGAAAACTTCTTAGAAGGAACAGTTATTACAGATAGCTTTTTTTTGGTGAGATCAGTGGTTTTTATGCCTATGGTTGAGGAGTATCCCAGCAGACTAGCAGTGTTTGAAAGAAATCCTCATCCCTTGGCGGCTTGTGGCAGCAGGAGAGAGTCACGTTGGCCAGTTGGCGTTTGGGCATGAGGTCAATCCATCTCCCCACCTGTGACTGTTGATCTGCAAGGTGCTGAGAGCTCTGGCCCCAGTCCAGGAAAGCATTTAAGCAGGCTCGTGGGTGTAAGCATATGAGTAGGGAATGGGAATACATAAGGGTATTAAAGTTAAGCATGTGCCAAGTGTTTTTCTGGTTTGGGGTCAGAGTGCTCAGCACCTTGCATGACTTAGCCCTTAGTTTCTCTCACTGAGGGCTTCTTAGATAACTGTGAAACTTTCATTCAAAATAGAAGAAATTCAATTAAAAATATGTACCCAGTTTCAGTTAACCGCTTGGTAGTGTTGGTTTTTCACACATTGTCCTAGAAATTCAGGTCACAGTCCACTCGGATCTATGCTTTCATATGCTGGTTCCAAGTGCATTCTAGGTAACCCAATTAGCAGAGTGTGAGGAATTTCACATAGACGCTGTAAGTGAAAGTGAGCTACAGTTGCTTTGCCAACCACTGGTAAATTACATTTTTTAAATATAGTTTACAATAAATCCCTTTTACATCAGGACCTTATGCTTCCTTTCAACATAAATCAGGTCATGAAGTACAGAATTCAACTGAATGTTTCAGAAATATAAAAGCATAGCAATGCAGATACCTTTCTGTTTAGTGGGTCCTTCCTTTTGCCTCTAGCTAACTATATTATATAGCACCATATTTTTGAGGTATAAGAGTACATGGCTGGAGTTAGCAATATTGCCGTTTCACATGAGGGTTTTAGGTGCTGGTGCCAATTTATAGTTCTTTCATTATTCTAAATACAGTGGGAAATTACATTCTGAAAAAGGCTACTTGTCCTCTACAGAAATTAGAGTACTTTTCTCTAAAATTCTATAAATGTTGTAGGATTTTAGAATTATAGGATTTCTGTGTCCACAAATTTAGCGCCAAAGTAAATAATGGCTTTTGGTTTATTGGTTTTGAAAAGTGCACCTTTAATGTTTTTTATTTATTCAAACAAATTGAAGGTGAAATAGGTATTTCTATATTATTACAGTTCTAACACAAACTGACCTAACCCAGGACATTCCAATTAAAGTTAGATAACATAATTAGACAAATTAATTTTTGCTTTAATGCTGAATGTCCTGGCTTTTTGTTAATATGAACCTATGCGATATGGCAGTGACTGCAGGTTTAAATTAATTTGCTGTACTTTTATAGTAATTGCATTTATTGCAGCATTTAAAGTACTGTTATATTAAACCTGCTTGATGGTCTTACTGTATCAGTGAATTATCTTTGATGTTAGAACCAGAGAGACTGACAAAGTGGTATCTGTATTGTCTACGTTGGATCTCATGTAGTCACTGGTAATTGAGTTGGGATTTGAAATCATTGCACACTATGTCAAACCAAGTAATGGTGCTCCTCTTTCAAATAGGCCACTTGTGAATTAAAGCTGCTGGTAGCAAGGTAGAGGAAATAAAGGAGAGGGAAGAGAGAAGCTCTAATAAGGAAAGATTATCTTGGTGTTCCTGTGCTGACTGCTCTTTGAGTTTCACAGCCTTCACCATAAATTCTAAACTTTGTTATTTAATTTAAATAAATGAGAAGCAGTGTTCTCAGCCTGATCATTCTGGTGATTAATCCATAAAGTTTCCATGCTCATTTCCTGTTGTTGGTCCATGGGCAAAGACTGAAAAATTCTCTCCAATCCCTCCCAGGAAGATGCTAAAGCCTCTAATTCAGAAGAGCCCTTGAGCAAATGCTTATCTTCAGATGCTTAAAGTCAAGGCAATGCTGAATTTCGTTGCTGGATCAGACCATAAGCCAGGAAAGTCACCACAACGTATTGCAGTAACTTAGGGCCCCCTTTCTTTGGGCATTCAGGATGCTGGAGCCTAAACATGTAATTTATTTTCACTGGACAGTGTTGCATGTTCAGTTTATCATACACTGAAAAGTTAAATAACATTTTGTATCTTTTTTTAGCCATACATAGAAGAAATTTGTGATAGTCTCCGAGGAAAAATATTTCAAAAATTTATGGAAAGGTATGAATCTATATACTATATGAACTACTGAGTAATCTCCTGCAGTTAGACTGGTCCCTTGAGTATTATTGCAAAATAAGGGTAGAATTGTTTAGTTAATAGTGTATTATCAGCAAGCTTTTCCAAAGAACTAGCCTTGATACATGTATCATGTTAAATATCAGGATATCCCAGTATTGTATGTAGTGTAGTTGTGACTGAACTTGTAAGGATGTTCAGATCACACAATTAGTGGACCACTCCACTGCACCACGTAACAGTAATAATGGACTTCTTACAGTCTGATCTTTTAAAAGTCTGAAAGTCTCTAACTCCATTCATCTGGGTGATACTCTTACAAGTAAACTACAATTTTATGGGGGTGAGCTATACAGCAATTCTAGTGTGTAGCCCAAACGGTTTACAACTAAACAGTAACTGTAAGGAAATGTAAGGTGGCAAAACCAGTTAATCTTACACATCTGAATAATGCTATTGACCTTAATGAGACTACTGGTGGGAGTAAAGTGCACAGATTTGGCCCCTAACCTACTGCTGACAAATGATATATCAGATTATGTAGCCAACATAATGTACTCATAAGATCAATTTTTCCTACCCTGAAAATAAACATTTTATAACTGATATAGCAGCAGAAGACAATTATCCTGTAACAACATTCAATAGTATTGACATCTTCTTTATTTCAGGATAAAATAGGTTTACATTATTCCTTGGTGTATATTAAGGTTAATTCAATTTGAAGTTACATTGCATACTTTCTGATTTAATTATCTTGCTTGTGATACAGTTGAAATATTTTTTTTAATTTCCTGAAAAATTGACTGTTAGAAACAGGGTCTAAAGGAAATTATGTAAATAAATATGGATGCATTCGTAACTGAAGAGAGAAAATAATCAGATATATTTTATAACTTGTTATTAAACAAAACATATTGAGAATGAGTTGCTAAGAAACATGCCAAATTAAAACAAGCATAAAAGATGGCTAATCAGTGAATTTTTTAAATGGCAATTTTAATCTTCATAAATTACCTTGTGCTGAATTTAATTTTCAAAACTAGAGTTCTTGGCATTTTTCACAATACTTTCTGTAATTCTATTGGATAACCTTTTAACTTAACTTTAAAATTTTTTTTTTCACAGTGACAAGTTTACTAGATTTTGTCAATGGAAAAATGTAGAACTAAATATTCATGTAAGTAATTACATTTATATTGTCAAAAGCCGATGTAGGAAAGAAAATGTTAGATTTTAAAGAATACTTTTCCTTAAAAGACGTTATTAAGAAGAACAATGAGTATTATTCTAATATGCTGTTCTATTCTTTGATGTACATAACCTCCCAGCACCATTAATGATTCCTCCCTGGCTACCTTCTCTGCCTGTCATGACTTAAAAGCCTTGTGGTTTTGAAATAGGTAGTTACAGGAAACAGATTGTTTGAGCACTACTTTTTGGCAGGAGACGCCAACCCAAGTACTATTCTGTCTCCCTCTGTTTTTTCCCTTCAAAACTCAGACCTACTTGCCTCCATTTGGTATATTCTTGGCCTCATCCCTTAGTCCTAAAGTGTTTTACTCCCACAATTTCTTTGTCTGCAAGGCAACGTTGCTCATGAAAGCTGCTGTCTTGGTTTCATATCCATTGAAATCCTCAGCCAGGCCTTCATGTCCTGTCATCTTGGCTACTGTAAATACCATCTCTATGACCTCCCCAGATTCTAGTGCTTGCAGACATAGGGGAGCATAAACAATTAAGGGCTTGTCTACACTAGCCACTGGATCGGCGGGCAACGATCATTCCAGCAGGGGTCAATTTATCACGTCTAGTATAGACGCGATAAATCGACCACTAAGCACTCTCCCGTCGACTCCGGTACTGCACCAGAATGAGGAGCGCAAGCGGAGTCGACAGGAGAGTGTCAGCCCTTGACTTACCACAGTGAAGACACCACGGTAAGTAGATCTAAGTACGTCGACTTCAGCTACTCTATTCACGTAGCTGAAGTTGCGTATCTTAGATCGACCCTGTGCGGTAGTGTAGACAAGCCCTAAGAGAGCAACTTTCTGAAAACAGGTAGTGAAACCATAAAACTAAAAAATAAAGAACAAATATCCACTTTAATACATTGATGTCAAATTAATTTAGAGATTGTAAAGGGTAAAGGTTCTGGGCATTGGAAAATGAAATTTGTGTGTTTTGAATTCACAGCTGACCATGAATGACTTTAGTGTACATAGAATAATTGGGCGAGGGGGATTCGGTGAAGTATATGGTTGCAGAAAAGCGGACACTGGAAAAATGTAAGTTCTATACTGTGTTTTAATGATAAATATAAACTCTAAAGTATATAAGGAAAAAAACTCTGAATTTTTTACAAAATCTCCACAGAGCGGAATGATCAGCTTAGATTGTATCATGAAATTGTGTAATAGAGTTTTGTCCTAAGGTCCAGTCAGTTGAAGAAGAGTTTGAATTTATGGAGTGGCTTAAAGTCTCATTGGAAGTTTGATCCTCCAAAATGCTGGACACTCAGGCCCCAGTCTTGCAAAACAATTAAGCATATTCTTACTGAAAACACTTGTATAGTCCCTCTGAAGTCACAGGAGATTTCTCATGTGCTTAAAGTGAAGGGTGTACTTGAGTACTTTGCTGGCTCAGGGCCTGGAGTGCTCAGCGCATTTCAGGATTAAGCCCTGGGATAGAGATGTGTGGGCAGTTTAAGAATACAGTGTCCTAAGTCTATATAATTAAAACTATTTACACTCCCAAGAAGGGGTTTTGAAGGAAAAAACGGCAGCAGTGGTTGCTTCTAGTTGACAGTTGGTGCTCCATTGTTAGAATTGCAGCTAAAACACATCTCTGGGTTCAAGTTCCCAAATCAAACCCTTTGCTTTCTCTGGCATTGCCACTCACACACAACTCCTAATTGCTGCATAGAGAACCCCTGGTTATTAGGCACAATTCTTCCATCACATGGTCAGCTTTGATTTTCTGGACATAGCATGGGTTTTCCACATGGTTCGGTCTACCTACTCTCCTACCCATTTGAACCCAGGGATCTTTCTTTGATAATTCCACATAGCATTTCTGATGCCTGAGGTGTCGAGTGTTCGTGGTTCCCATTGGGTTTAGTGGGAATAGTGAGTGCCCAATACCTTTTAGATCCTGACTCTGAGCTATTAACAAGTGAAGGGTCCCCTGAAATGACTTTCATGTTTAATCTTTCAGCGGCGACTTTCACCTCAAGTATTTATTTCAATAATACTATTAATATCTTCATTCCTGTTGCAGTACTTTTATGCACATATTGATTTATTCTTTTTTAGTTTGAGATTTATAAAATGAGCCTGCCATGTAGTCTGTAGGCCAGGCACAGAAATGTAAATGATATCCATCTCTTTTGGACAAAAGCCACACTAAATAGGCTTCCACCTCAGAGATAGAGTTAGCACATTTGCCCAGTCGCTTTCTCTGAAGAAGCCTGAATGCCTAAACTAAGGAACTCAGAACCAATAAGGGAAGCAAAAGATGTCCCTCCCCTTCCTTTCCCTCCCACCAGTTTCCATGAAGCGCAGAGGCAGAAGAATAGAGAAAGGTAATGGGGATAGGAGCAGAAAAGTCAGCCAAACTTTTCCATACCTGAAGTAAAGCTTTAGGTTAGGTTCATCTTTTGGGTAGAGGTTTGGGTTAGTTCTTACTTTATCCAAACCTGTTCACCCATCCCTAATCTAAATCCCATTCACTCTAGATGGCTGCCTCTGCTGCACTTATCTGTCTGCAAGGACTTTGAGAAGCCATCCCGCCAAGGTAAATGCCATTGGTGTTCCACTAACCCAGAAACAGACAACTGAGGCTGCTCCCAAAGTAGCTCCTCCAAGAGCAGTGTAAACAGAAGCCAACTTAGTCTTAAAAGCAGCATATCTCAGAAGAGAACATAGTGGTGCTATGTCAGAATGACGAAGTGAGGTATTTGACATCAACTAGCCTTATATGACCCCAGATCATTTGCCCAGGTCAGTAGCCCCAAGGGACAATTAAGGGCTAATGTTAAAAAGGCTGTGTTAAAAGTAATTTTAAAACTTCCTAACGTAGCACAGAAACCAAGGACAAGAGCATCTGTGGTAAACACACATTCCTGGCTTAGAAATGTAAAATGTGTGCGTGCTCCATACACATGACCCAGCTTTGCTGGTGTTGTCTGGAGTACCGATGGTATGTGGTGGGTTGCAAAGCAGGGCTGCTTTGAGGCCTTCTGTCTACACAGAGCACGCACACTCTGGATTGTTGTTAAACATGTACATTATCCTGTAACTTGATATGGCACTTCTATAAAGAATATTTTTAAATGACACACTCCTGGCTTGTGCTGAGAATTCTGGAGGAGCACTGAAGGGTGAGGGAGGCGGAGGGGCAGGGCAGTGACACTGTGCTTAATGGAACTCATTTCTGGTAAAAGATGCAACATATGATCTCCTGGCACTTACTGACAGAGGCTGACAGACATATGGAGGAAAAGGTTCAGGATCCTGTTCATGCCTTTGGTCCAGTTGACCATGTTTCTTTGGAGACACGGAACACTGCTGGATGTGCTAGCCGGACCCCTTTGTACTTGGAGAATTAGGGTCACCATTGTGCCTTGGTCATCTGGGATGGGGAGAAGGGGGATTTGGAATGAAAGGGCTCCCTACTTCTTCCCCCACTCTCTCTCAGCACACCTGAGCTGGATAAGCTAGAATCTAGTCTTATATATATCTATAGTGAACCCACTTTTCAGAGATACCAGGTTTGCACAACCCTTGGGCATACAGGAGCTCCAGGCACATCAGGAGCTTTAGTTTATTACAAGAGCTGCCTAAGTGTGTTGGTAATTGCTGAGTTGACTGGGTGAGCGTTTCTACAGATGAACATCCTGAGCCTTTTACCTGTAGTGCCACTGACAATGTGCTTAGCCCCAGTTTAAGCCAATTTTTAGCAGATTGCTCTCCGATTCATAGACTTGTTGGGATCCATGTCATTGTGCTCTTGTTCTTCATTAAAACATTAAACACTCATGTTCCATGTCTAAAAACGCCATACAGTCATGATATATTGTTGGAGAAGATAGACACAAAAGCCTTCTCTTGTATCTCCGGCCATCTGTTGTGTAGTAGAAAACAAACCATTTTCCTTTTTTTAAAAAATGTCCGAACCTAGCAGGCCTCTTCTGGGTAGAGGTGAAAGCACGGATTCATATGGAATCAGAATAGGGTCCATGTAAACATTCCTGTTAACTCATACTCCAAATCCTGGTCTGTGGATATTGAAAAATGGACTCCAGCTATCTTTATCTAACCTGTGTTTTTCTGATTCCCTGATCACTCTGGTGTCTGGATGCTGGCCACCTTAGACTTTGTTATTTAGGTATCCTAGGAAAACCTCTCTACTAGGAGATTGAGAATAATGTTTCAATGCTAGGAAGATGTTGGAGTTGTTCTCTATGGGTATGTTTACAGTGCATTCTGACATACTTGCTGTAGCTTTAGCCATGCTAGCATTGCCAAAAATAGCATTGTAGATATGGTGGCACAGGCTTCTGTGCAGGCCGTACAAGCATGTACCTACTCGCAGTGTTAGTCTGCTCTGATGCACGCACCTCCTCATTGATGCTGCTATTTTTATTCATGCTAGCCTGGGTAAAGTTAGCCTGGGCATGTTTATCCAAGCTGCAATCTCACCTTGGATTTCAGTACAGACGTACCATCTGTCTAGATGCTATTTCGAGATTTCTGATATAGATGCAAGTCTTTAAAGACTCTGCTCAATATACTGTAAATATATATATCTATTCTATATAGATGGCATGGATTGTTGGTGAAAAATATTGAGGGCGGGAGACCTTTTCCAATATGCTTTTCTGAATTATTAATATTTTCAGGTATGCAATGAAATGTTTAGATAAGAAGAGGATCAAGATGAAGCAAGGAGAAACATTAGCCTTAAATGAAAGAATTATGCTGTCGCTAGTCAGTACTGGAGTAAGTATCCTGGAATTTTTTCTCCATCTTTTACAATTATTTTTTGCAGGTAGTATCTAAAATACTGTGTAGAATACATATTCCATTAATTCATTCATGTGTGGTGTAGGGGAAGTCAAAGCAGACCAAAGGATAATGGTGTTAAGTGCCCCAAGGCCAAAAACAAAAAAAACCCCGAAACCAAACAAAAATTAAATAATGATGATACCACCTACTTCTTACATAGTGCTTTTGATCAATAGTTCTCAAAGTGCCTAACAATCTTTAATGTACTGATCCTCGCAACACATTAAATTAGCTTGTCCAATTTTTCTGTTATTGCTTACTTCTGTTGATTTGGTCCTTTGGTCCTAGGAGTAGAATTAACTGCCAAGTTTACATAGAAAAGTTGTCTATGTGATATTTAGATCAGTTTTAAACAAAAAACGTCACAAACTTTGTTTATAAAAGGAAGCATTTCTGGTATTTATTCTACAATTCTGGAGTCTCACAGATCCTTTCACATAGGGAAACTTGAGTTATGTAGAAGAGACGTTCAAATGGAATCCACAGAGTGAATGTTGCCCCAAGTGATTATAAAACAGACTTCGAAATGGTAGAACCTCCAGAGTACAATAACCTCATTATATAAAGCCTAAAATCAGCTCTTGTCACCATGGTTACAGGGGATGTTGATAGAAAGGTTAATTTTGCTCATGATGATTACTCTGTTCAAATGAGATTCACAGTTTACAGCTCAGTGTAAGCACATTCTCCTACCCAGCCCAGTTACAAAATGAAAGGGATTGCATATAATTTTGTTACAGACGTATTGGCTAATGTGCGTCTGTGCTATCAGAATTATTACTGCTGCTGCTTGGTAGATAGTAAAGAACTCCAAAACAAATACAGTAAAATCTCTGTTATCCGGCGCTTTATCAACTGGAAAGCTCTATTAACCAGCATTTCTGTTATCTCCCAATACAAATCTTCAATCTAGTAACTGGGACTAGTATACTGCCCAGGAGGTTGATCAATTGCACATTCTGCACTGTGCTTTTATGCAAAACAAGCAGAAGACAAGTAAGCAAACTGCTTTCAGGGATTTATTCAAAAAAGCAGCTTCCAGGGTGTGTCATAAGGTCATTACAGATTCAGCCCAATCTCCTACACCTTCTACATCTACAGTGATAATTGATGTTGATAATAATGACCCTCAGGCACTGCAAGATCCTGAAGTGCCTTCTGAATCATCAAAGAAAGATTAAATTATGTTCAGTACAATTTTAGTGTTAAGTTTGTTTTTAGTGATCTGGATGTTCACCCTGTGCTGCGCATAGTGATATGTAATGTCATAAGATAACCTACTATATAGAAAACTTTACCTGTATACACTGAAGTGCTTCAAAAAACTAACCACTCCACAGTGCAGTGCTGCTATGGATTGGTGAGGACCTGTGTGCTATTGTATACTTTATTTATTTTATTGTATTCTAATTCTTTGAAAATTGGTATTCCACTGGTAAGTATAACTCTTAGTTAATGGGAATTTTTGATTATCTTGGACCCCCCATTCACTCAACATGCTGGATAACAAAGCTTTTACTGTCAAAAGAATTTGCTGTATTCTCAAAGAGAAGATGTTCTGTATCTCAGTGAGATTACATACATTTGATTTTTGTCTCTGCATTCTCAGAAATGTTTAAAGATCATTCATTTCTTGCTGAACCTTGTTAGTGTGACATGTTCAATGGTAATTTTTCTTTTAAATACACACCCACCATCCTCACCAATGCTCTGTGCCTGTGAACCATGTGGTAGCTGGGCTATCAGCCATGGAATCTACTCATGTAACAGAGCATCAGCATGGCCTGCCTCCACACCAGCAGCTTGAATGGACTTCTCATTGTTTCCCTCTCGTCTCTGCAGCCTGTGGTGGTGATTCGGTGGGGTGGAGCATGTATATCTGTCAGTGATACTCCCTTTCTCTCCACATGCCTTCATTCCACCTGTCCTATATATTTATTCCTGCTCCTGTTTTTCTTCCTCACCCTGAGTCTTGAGAGAACCCAAGGAACTGCCCCCACAAACAGGGCTGCTCACATCAAGGAAATTTACAAGATGCAAAATGGGTCTCTAGTTTAGGAAGTACAGCTTGCTCCCGGGCACCTGATTTTGAGGTATTGTTTGGCTGAGAGAGAGAGAGAGAGAGAGTGCCATCAAATTGCCCTATAAGCACAAGGCAAAACCAGTGATAGATACTGCTGAGAGGCACAGTCTACTTCAGGCAGACTTGTTCTCCCTCTTCCACTAGAGCGATAGATTTGCCCCCTGAGGAACACAAGGAGCATTAGCCTCCATAAGCCCTCTTCCTCTGCAGGCCATGTAATGCCTGCACATACTTTCCAGCCACACAAGGTGTGTCTACACTGCAATTGAAGACACATGGCTGGCCTGGACCAGCTGACCCGGTCTTGTGGGACTCGGGTTGCGGTGCTGTGTAATTGCGGGATAGATGTTTGGGCTGGAGCCTGGGTTCTAGGACCCTGTGAGGTGGGAGGATTCCAGAGCTTGGGCTGCAGCCCGAGCCTGAACATCAACACCACAAATAAACAAACACTTAGTCTGAGCCCCTTGAGCCTGTGTCAGCTGGCACGGGCTGCCACGGGTTTTCAGCTGCAATGCAGACATGCCCACAGTTCCACTGGCATGGCTCAGACTGTTCCACCAGATGCCTTGAAGGCTACGTCGACGGTTAGAGCTGAGGGTGTGATTCCCAGCTTGAGCAGACCTACTTGCACTAGCTCTCATTGTGCTAAGAATAGGAGTGTAACTTCAGTAGCACAGGGTAGCCGTCCTGTGGTTTCCAGGCAACGTGGCACTTGGGAACAAATGCAAAAAAGAGAAAATCGATACGGTTCAAGGGGGGGAGCCCTAAAAAGCAAAAACCGCTTCTTGTCATCCTTCTCTCTGCTGTCTTCTTCTGTAGAAGTGCAAGAGCTCCTGATCATATCACCTTGAAAAATCTGACCTGGTTGTTGGGGGAGATGTTCTTTTCTGAATATTTTGGTTTGGTAGCTAAAAACACAATTTCTTCCTAGGATTTGAGTCAGAAGCCTAATGCCTGGACTAAAGGGCTGGGTCTCCCTCTGAACCTAGCTCAAGGAGATGTTCTCAGGGCAGAGTGGAACTCCCAGCATTGGATCAGAGGCGCATAGATGAGCCATGTGTTTTTACACGTTCCAGAAGGCCAACTATATCTTGTCCAAAATAGATGCAGCTGTTGCAGCAGAGGCCAAGGCATCAGCCAGTAAAGAACACTTGGCTAGGAAGATTTTATATTTCACGTTGAATATCTCCATACAGATTTTTGGCACCCTTCAGTGTTCCTCTCTGTACCCTTCATTTTAGTAAAAAGAAAAGGAGTACTTGTGGCACCTTAGAGACTAACCAATTTATTTGAGCATGAGCTTTCGTGAGCTTTCGTGAGCTACATGAGCTGTAGCTCACGAAAGCTCATGCTCAAATAAATTGGTTAGTCTCTAAGGTGCCACAAGTACTCCTTTTCTTTTTGCGAATACAGACTAACACGGCTGTTCCTCTGAAACCTTCATTTTAGTGTGTGTTTTAATCACATAAGCAGCAAAAATGACCAGGCAAATAATGTGCTGTAACTGCTGCTTTCTCGTGTCACTGTTGCCTTGTGTTCCCCCCAGCTGTAATGATGTGTTCACCTGTTTCTCAACTTCTAATTAAATGATGAGCTCTTTGGGGCGGGGATCATCTTTTTGTTGTGTTTGTGTAGTACCTAGCATGGCTGATCCCTCATCCCTGACTGGGGTCCTTACATGCTAATGAAATACAAACACTGGTGTTATAAAAGTTGACATTCAGAGAGGCCTGTTACAGACGCACCTTTTATTGCTTTAAAAGATATTTTCAGTACAGGATTTTAAATGTCTTAGTCCTCCCGAAGATCTTTTCTGAAGCCTTTTACATTTACCCCCATAAATGTAAGAGAGTATTTAGAGCACATCTTGGAGTTTTATCTCAAACTTCTGTGCAGCACCACATGTTCCTATGAGCAGTCCTTACCACCATGTTTGTATGGGGCACAGGAGAAGGTTAATATGGTTAAATGAAGACATTCCATGGTACAGTGGTCCTTTGTCTTAGCAAGGTTTATTTTAATATGTTCAAATCTACATTTTTATGAGCTTGATAATTGTAAGAGTTGTACTGAATATTGGTCTTTCACTCTTAGGCCTTGTCTACACTGTCACTTTACAGCGCTGCAACTTTCTCGCTTGGGGGTGTGAAAAAACACCCCCTTGAGCTCTGCAAGTTTCAGTGCTGTAAAGTGACAGTGTAGACAGTGCACCAGCGCTGGGAGCTACTCCCCTCATAGAGGTGGGTTTTTGGAGGAAAAAATATTGTGCCTTGCTTTGCTGTTCTCTCCCTGCCCCACCACCACAGACACTTGCCTTTCCTGATGGATAGGACGTATGTGGTACACTGATAAATTGTGGAGCTGGAAGTTCATCTTAGAATCTTTTAAACTGTAAATCCAAACCCTTTATTAAGTAAAGGAAGTCACACAGAGTGGATTCCTGGTCTAGAGAGAGAAAACACAGGACTATGCATGTCACTTTAACTCCTTTTATTACTTGCATTGCCACTCGCTATCTGCATGACCTGAGGAAGTCAGTTCTTAATACATCTTGGTACCTTGCTTTTTCTCATCTGTAAAATGGGGATAATACTGTACCTCACAGAGGTTTTCTGAATCTGAAGGTTTGAAAAGTGCTCTGAAATCTTTAACAGGTGCTATGAAAGTGAAAAGTATTATAAGTCAGAAAACCATGCCCAGTATTTGAGTTGAAGAGCTTGTACAAAAAAACCTGTTAAAATTGTTGTTTGTTGAAGGAATTGTTTCACAATAATAGATTTTCTACTAAAAAGGTAGCAAATTGTCATTGAGACAGAATAGGTACTAGGTCAGTGGTCCCTCAGGTCTGTGT